AGTAGTAGTAGTAGTAGTAGTAGTATAATTACTATTACTGTTATTATTAGTAGTAGTAGTATTACTATTGCTATTACAGTTATTATTATTAGTAGTAGTAGTATTACAATAACTGTTATGTTACTATTAGTAGTAGTAGTAGTAGTAGTACAATTACTGTTATGTTACTATTAATAGTAGTAGTAGTATTACAATTACTGTTATGCTACTATTAGTAGTAGTAGTAGTAGTATTACAATTACTGTTATGTTACTAGTAGTAGTAGTAGTAGTACAATAACTGTTATGTTACTATTAGTAGTAGTATTACAATTACTGTTACTATTTCTGTTATTATTATAAGTAGTAGTAATCAAAAGCCATGCCCCCCCCCAGGCTGAGCTGAAGGCTCGCAGCTACCTGCTGGAGAAAGAGAAGCGAGCCTTGGAGCTACGACTGAGCGGCAAAGAGACGCAGGAAACGGCCTACCGCATACAGATAGAACACTTACAGGGGGAGCTGGAGCTGGTGGCCGGGGAACACCCACCGCACGCCCCCCTCACCTCCCCCTCTCCCTCCTCTCCCCGGTCAGGTGCCAGTGGTCATCAGTATCATCATCATCATCAGTCTTCTAGAACAACGACGGCGAGCTCAAAGCAGCAACAGCAGCAGCAGCAACATCTCCCAGACGCGTGGAAGGTGACGGAAATGGCGTCACGGGATGCCAACGATCTGGCGAGGGACTTCCTCTTGAGCCTGGAGAGGGAGCGTGTTCTCAAATGGCGCGTCTCGGAGCTCATGTCCACTTTGGAGAAAATTTCCCGGAATTCGGAAAGTGGCCACAAGCAGTGGGCCCAGTTCGTCAACGACCTAAAACGGGCCAACTCGGCCTTGATCTCGGCCTTCGACAAAGCCCGCAAGAAGTACCAGGGCCGGCTGAAGAAGATGGAGGGACAGCTGAAGGGCTGGAAGGAGAAATACGACGCAGACACGGCCGCACTGAGGCAGCGCTTGAGTGTGCTGGAGGGGACCAGAGGGGGAGGGGGAGGGGTTCGTACCCCACCCACCCCCCAACCGCCGCCCAGCGAAACCTCGTTGTAGTAGTTGAGGCATCCCCATACGAGGTCCGTCCCAGAATAACGTTTCCCTCCTCCGCAAAATCAAAAGTACGCAATCAACAGCCACTAAATTTTGTGACGTCATGACATCATGTCTGAGAAATCTCTACGCCAAATTGCAAGTGCATTGGTAAACGGGTCATAGAGCTGTGACGTGTCAAGTGTGGTGTTCTTGTGTATTTTGTCCGAGGCTAATTCGAGGAAAATGGCTGAGCAAAAGACTGGTGCAACCTTCTCTTTCTACGATGTCCGAATAGTGATCAAATGTTCAACTCTTCTCGGCAAGTCTGCAGTTGAAACCCTTGGTGATCTATACAAAGTAATCGGGAATAATGCCCCATCAATTCAAACAGTAAGGAAATGGATCAGGAGGTTGAAGGTGGGAGGTCTGAAAGATGAAGCGCACTCACAAAACACAGTGGGAGAGAAAGGTGATGCACATTGGGGGGTTTTTTCTACATGAGTGGCATCCTACTGAGCTGGCTAGTCCCACCTGGCGTAACTGTCAATGGTAACTACTACACAGGTTCGTCCTCAAAGACGGGCTGAGACCTGCGGTCCGCAAAAAAGACCCGCTTTGCTGGAAGAAAGCGTGATCCTGCGTCATGACAACGCGCCTGTTCACAAGTCCAGAGTTGTGCACGAGCTTCTTGACGGCTACTCGTGGGAATTTCTTGTGTTGGAACACCCGCCCTATTCGCCCGATCTCGCCTCTTGCAGCTTCCACCTCTTCCCCAAGGTGAAATGCTGCGAGGTCGGCGATTTGAGGACGAGGACCAGATTCAAGAAAAGCACTCGGGACCTTGGACAAACAATCACTGACCACTGTCGTTGACCACTGGGTACATCAAGTGGAGAAATGTCTGGAACTTGATGGTTCCTGCGTTGAATAGGTATTTGAATAAGCTATGTGTTGATACCAAATACATTTACATGTTCAAGGTGATTTATCATTATAAGTGAGGGTGGCATAACAGGGAGACTTTATTCCCACACAGACCTCATAGCTGACCACCAGCATGCTGAAAAAAAAAAGTATTAAGTATGTTTGTTAGGATCTGAGCACCAAAGTCTGCTTCTGTTTTGGGAGTGGAAAATACTTTTGCTGTCTTCTAGTGCATTAAGTTGTTATTGTTTGGGGGGGGGGTT